GAATAATTGGCCTGCCTTGCTAGGTTGGGGAAGTTTTCCTGGATAATATCCTGAAGAGTATTTTCCAGTTTGGATTCATTCTCTTCATCACATTCAGGTACACCTATCAAATGTAGATTAGGTCTTTTCACATAGTCCCACATTTCTTGAAGATTTTGTTCATTCCTTTTTGTGCTTTTTTCTCTGTTCTTGCCTTCTCTTTTTATTTGATTGAGTTGATCTTCGACCTCTGTTATCCTTTCTTCTGCTTGGTCAATTCAGCTGTTGAAACTTGTGCATACTTCGCGAAGTTCTCGTGTTGTGTTTTTCAGCTCCATCAATTCACTTATATTCCTCTTTATGTTGTCCATTCTCGTTAGCATTTCCTCCAATCTTTTTTCAAGGTTCCTAGTTTTTTTGCATAGGGTTAGAACATGTTCTTTTAGCTCACTGTAGTTTCTTACTATCCACCTTCTGAAGTCTGATTCTGTCATTTCATTGCACTCCTTCTCCATCTGGTCTGGTTCCCTTGCTGGTGAGGAGTTGTGATCCCTTTTAGGAGGAGAGGTGTTCTGGTTTCAGAAGTTTTCATCCTTTTTGCACTGGTTTCTTCCCATATTTGTGGGTTTATCCACCTGTTGTCTTTGTAGTTACTGTCTTTCAGATTGGGTCTCTGAGTGAGCTTTTAGTTTGTGGATTCTGAAGTTACCTCTTTTTTTTTTTTAAGCTTTCCTTCTAACAGTCTGGTCCCTCTACTATAGGACTGCTGAGGTCCTCTCCAGACCCTGCTTGCCTGGGGATCACCTGCAGCAGCTGCAGAACAGTAAGGGTTGCTACCAGTTTCCTCTTCCACTATCTTTGTCCCAGAAGGATGCTTGCCAACTGTCAGTCCATTCTCTCCTTTATGAGGTAACTCTTTGGATCTATGGGGGTCAGGGAGCTACTTGAGGAGACAGTCTATCTTTTACTGGGGCTTAAGTCCTGAGCTGTGAGCTCCGTTGTTCATTCAGAGCTGCTGGGCAGCTGCAGCTGAAATCATAAACCGCTTTTTGTTCCCAGGTGCTCTGTCCCAGGGAGTTAAGTCTTTACGGGTCTCCGTTGTGCTACTGCCTTTTTTGTTTTTTCTTTCAGGTCTGCCCTGCCCAACTAGCAGTCCACCTAGCTACTGTCTGCCTGCAGAGGCTTTGCTGAGCTGCTGTGGGCTCCACTCAGCTGCCCTGTGCTCTTCCCTGCAGTCCTGTTTATATGGGTGTAGTTAGAACTGCCTCAGCAACGGTGGCCTGCCTCCATAGTGGTGGAGAGTCTCAGTAAAGGTGGACGCCCCTCCCCCACAGAGCCAGATCATCCCGGGTTCAGCTGTGCATGCTGTGAAATGCTCAACCCAGAGAGTTTTCAATTACTGTTTTTGTTGTTATTGTTATTGTTGTTGGGGGTTGGGGGTAGGACCAATGGTGCTTGATCACCTGGCTCCCTGACTCAGAGTCTTTTTTTTATTTTTTAAGTTGAACAACCCAGCATTCCAGTCGCTTGTTGAAAAGGCGCCAGGATCTCCCGTGCCGCGACTCACTGAGTTGGCTCCAACAGTGGTGCCAAGACTCCTGGTGGTTTTTTTTGCCTAGGAATCTCCTGGCCTGGCTCACTATTTCAGATGAAGGGGCAACTCTGCTGTCTCAGGGCTCGCCAGGTAAGAGGGCTCCCAGACCACTGGCTTTTGTATGGAGAACCGCCACAACAGGGCGTGGTCAAAGCAGCCGCGTGGGCCAAATCAGCCCCATGGGGGTCAAAACAGCCGCACGAGCTGGAACAGGCAGCGCTGGCGACCCCTCTGCCTGGGTATCTCCTGGTCTGTGGGCAATAAAAATTCATCTGGAAATGCGGCGTCCACTCACCCTCTGCACTTTCACTGGGAGTTGAAGTCCTGAGCTGTTCTTAGCTGGCCATCTTCCCAGCATTCCTAGTATTACCTTAATACCAAAACCAGGCAAAGGCATATTAAAATAAAGAAATAAATAAAAACTACAGGATAACATCTCTGATGAATATTGATGCAAAAATCCTCAACAAAATACTAGCAAGTGAACTTCAACAATAAGTTGTAAAGATCATTCATCATGACCAAGTTGGATTTATCCCAGGGATGCAAGGTTAGTTCAACATATGCAAATCAGTCAGTGTGATGCATCATATCAACAGAATGAAGGACAAAATCCATATGACCATTTCAATGGATGCCGAAACACCATTTGATAAAGATCAACATCCTTCATGATTAAAAAAAAAACAAAACCCCGCTCAGAATACTGGGTATAAAGGGAGCATACCACGACATAATAAAAGCTGTATATGACAGACCCATAGCTAGTGTCATACTGTATGAAGAAAAACTGAAAATGTTTCCTCATAAATCTGGAACATGACAAAGATGCCCATTTTCACCACTGTTATTCAACATAATACTGAAAGTCTTAGCTAGAGCAATCAGACAAGAAAAAGAAAGTTCTCTTCTCTTCATGACTGTGCCTTATGAAATTTCCATCTCTTCACATTTTACTATCAATTTTCTTGAAGACTGCTCTTCCCTCTAAAATTTCTCTTTCAAAAAATCAATTCATATTGAGAGGAATTATCACTTCTCACATTATTGGTCTCAGATCAATGCATTGAGTCATTTTACATTGCATACAACATCCTCATGCTTACCAGCACCCAGCTGAAATTTTCACTCAACATATTTCAAAGGTTACCTAAAATTTAACATGTTCAAATCAACCTTCTTTGTTAGTGAATAAAGCTACTTTCCTCCCACTCCTTCAGGCAGAAATGTTTGGAATTGTTTTGGAGTTATCACAAGTTCTTTAAATTTCTCTTTAAAATTTATTTCTTTATTTCTTCCTTGCTATTTCTACTAAGTCCTGGAACTAGAGTAGTGAGCAGACGGAAGTACAAACTTTGGAGGCAAGAAAACTGGGTTCTAATTCTGAATCACCCGCAGCCCAGCTGGGGGCCCTGATTCTGGGATATGGTTTCGTTACCTGTGAAAATGAATCATACTAGTAACCACATCATAGGATTAATCTGAGGATTAAATGAGTTAGTTAACATAAAGCACTTAGAACAGTGCCTGGCATATATTAAGTGTCACTTAATTGTTAACTGTTGCTATTATCATTACTATTCCTTAGTTAGGAACTTGAACTCTGGGGAAAACCTCTTAGAATTGTATCTCAGGCATTTGCTTAACCTCTTTTATCCTCAGTTTCTTCATAAAGTGTAATGTATGATACCATCTTCCTAAAAATAATTAAGTTAAAAGATGTAAGTAAAGCATTTAATAAAGTAATTACTCAATACATTTTGGCCATTATTGGTAATATAATATGATTATCAATGAAAATAATATGATCCTATGGAAAATCCCTATAGATTCTTCATACTTAAAAAACTATTTTCAATTTATAGACAATGTATTAGTCTCTTCTTATACTATGAAGAAATACCTGATACTGTGTAATCTATAAAGGAAAGAGATTTAATTGACTCACAGTTCTGCATTGCTTGGGAGACCTCAGGAAACTTACAGTCATGGGGGGAAGGAAACGGAGAAGCAGTCATCTTCTTAACAGGGTGACAGGACAGAGTGAGTGCAACAGGGGAAATGCCAGATGCTTGTAAAATCATCAGATCTCATGAAACTCACTCATTATCACAAGAACAGCATGAGGGGAACCACACCCATGATTCAGTTTCCTCCACCTGGTCCCACTCTTGACACATGGGGAATACGGGGATTACAGTTCAAGGTGAGATCTAGATGGGGTCACAGAGCAAAACCATATCAGATGGTACCTTTCACTTGCATATATTTTTTATTGTTGCCATTGTGGAATTCATGCCATTTTTAAATTTTACATTATGATATAATAATTTTGTTTCTGCATCATCTTAAAAACGATTATTGGCATAGCACTTTCTTATACCAATCTACAATATTTCACTAAACCATTTGCTGAACATTAAGATTTTTTTGAGTTTGGTACTCAGGGGAATCTGCCAAGAATATCCATACAACTTTGTCTTTTGACTTATCTGAGATTATTTCCGGAAAACTTTCACAGGGAGAGATATGAACATGCATTTCCAACATTCTTTATATGCATTTCATGTGAGGGTTAGGACCAAGTTGGAAAAATATTTTCTAACTAAAGGGTGAAGGAGATAACTTTAATTCTCTCACCAACTTTGGTTTCAATGCCAAAGTGAAATGAAGTGAATACTTGATTTGTGGTGTTGGATTTGGACAGATTAAATAGCCAGACCTAGAAGCTTAGACTTTTTGCTGCTTAGCCTGCTTCAACCCCACAATGTTTGAAAGATGTTAGATTATTTATGCATTCAGGATAACAGTCCTATATTTTTCCTATCGAAATATACTTTAAATAAATGTTAACCACATTGCTTTGCCAAGTCATTTGGCCAATAAAATGAGGAATTTAAACAGTATGACTTCTGAGCTCCTTGCCACCTACAGTGTTTTTCCTCAGGCCTTGCACAACGTGGAGCAAGGCCTTTGGTTTATCCCTTCCTTACTCCTCCTCCTTCCTAACAGTATCACTTGATTTAAAGTTGCAGCTTAGTGAAGACAAAGGGAAAAGAGAACTCTGAATGACCCCTGTGGGTTTGAGAGAAGAGAAACAGGAATTTGAGAGAGGAGGAATAGAGTAAGGAAGAGAGAAAGTGAATAAAATTTATCGCTTTAACTTAATGTTTAACCTAATAAAAGCAAAATCTTATCTGAAATGGGAAAAGTCAAGGTTTTAAGTGCTGGTTCAGTGCCCATTTCTTTATGATTTGATGTCTGAGAATAATGTGATGGGTGTGGCCTAAAGACCTAGATCACGTGTGGAATTGGAATTGGGTGTTATACAGGCAAACAAGATAAATATCTGTGCAATATATCTGCTTTATGCACTTGAGCAGGGAAGAAATCCACAAGGACCCGTCTCCTGGTCTGCAGAGAAGACAGAAACAACATGAGCACAGCAGGAAAAGTAAGAAAAAAATATATTACTGTTGGAAATATATTCCCATCAACAGAACAAAGAAAGGAATACAGTATTTGATGAATAATTTAAAATTCATATCTAAATTAGAAATTATATGCTGAAATATGATGTGCAATATATGCTACAATATGTGATATATACTGAACTACAGTGGAAATAAGCTATTCCTAAATACCTTCAAAAAGAATGTACAGAATCTGTATCAATTAAGTCTTTATTTCCTAAATTAAATAAATTTGCAGTAAAGTGACCATTTATTTCAAGCTAATCATGACTGATTTGTAAATCTAAAGTCAGAAAAGTCTTTAATCAGAAGTTATCTTTATATGAAGAAGCCATAATTTAAATGTGTTATTATTTGTAAACATATTTTTTGTGAACACAAGAAAGGTAAGTCTGACAAAACTTTTATGAGAGGAATTTTGAGTTAGAGGATTTTGAAATATATTTTTAACCTTACTATAAAATATCTTACAAAATACTGATTGTTCTCACACCATTAGAATCATCAAGGTTAAGCAAGATACCACATGCAAATTCTGACTAAAGGGGGCCCATTATGACACAATTCAGGCAATTTCCACAGCAATTGCCTGTGGAATCTTCCCTGTATAAAAGTCAGTATGATTTTACAGAAAAATAATAATACAATTTGAATCACTTATTAGCACTCAGAACACAGATACTTGTTTTTTTCTTCCATAAATGATACTTATTTTTTCAATGTGTTTACAGGTGCACAGAAATCTATGTGCTTATTCAATATAATCAATTGATATTTTTAATTGCCTAATTAAAAAACCTGTGCAACTATTTCCAGTCATTTGTTGAGTTACGAGTGTACCACACAGTAAAATATCTCACTATAATAACTCAGTTTAAAGGTTCTGAGACTTCTCTCTATGCTGTGTGACAAAACAGGCTCTTCAATAAGAAAGATTGGAAATCACATGAGTGGCCCACTGTTCTTCTACCACTTCATTTTACCTCCATTCATTATTCATTAATATTTACATTCCTCGTAGAAAATAATTAGGAAAAAGAAAATTTAAATTTATCATTTACCAGACTTGACTTAAAAGAAATAATGAGTTCACTAGAGCAAAAGTATAAACCAATCATATTAATAAAAATAATAACTGATGAAATTGATAATTAATCCTCCCCTCTTGGATGCAATGTCAATAACTTAGCTTTTTGACAGCATTTCATTTATGTTTACCTGTCCTGCATTTCATTTTCCTCAAATGCTAAATAGTGATAATACTAATATCTATTTCATAAATTAATAGTAAAAAGCACTTAGAATAGTACCTGGTAAATAAAAATGAGTCAAAAAACATTAGCCAACATTATTATTGTTGCTATTTAACATTTTGTTATTTGCTACTGTGGAGTACTGAAAACATGAGGCTAGATTGATTTTTTTTTTTTTTTTTTTTTTTTTTTTTGAGACAGAGTCTCTTTCTATTGTTTCTATTGCCCAGGCTGGTTGGAGTGCCATCTCAGCTCACTGCAACCTCCACCTCCCGGGTCAAGCAGTTCTCCTGCCTCAGCCTCCCAAGTAGCTGGGAGTACAGGCTCATGCCACCATGTCTGGCGAATTTTAGTATTTTTAGTAGAAACAGGGTTTCACCATGTTGGTCAGGCTATTCTTAAACTCCTGACCTCAGGTGATCCGTCCTCCATGACCTCCCAAAGGGCTGGGATTTCAGGCATGAGCAGTCATGCCCAGCCTGATCTTTATTCTCTGGACAGTCAGCTTTGAGACTTTAGGAAAATTATTCAATCACTGAGTCAGTTAGTCCTTAATTATTTCAGCTGTAATAAGATCAATAATTCAATAATACTGTCCTGGTAGCATCCTTTTTTAGGTTTAAAAATAATACATGTTGTTTACAACAGCACAATTTCCAACTGCAAAAGTATCGAACCAACAGAAGTGCCCATCAACCAACTAGTGGATAAAGAGAATGTGATATACATACACCACGGAATACTACTTGGCCACAAAATGGAACAAAATAATGACCTTTGCAGTAACTTAGATGAAGCTGGAGGTCATTATTCTAAGTGAAGTAACTCAGGAATAGAAAATAAATACCATATGCTCTCACTTTTAAGTGGTAGCTAAGCTATGAGGATGCAAAGGCATAACAATGATATAATGAACAAAGCATTTTTATGCAAAGGCATAGAATATATAATGGCATAAGAATGATATAATAGGGATGAAAGACCACACATTGAGTACAATGTACATTGCTGAGGTTACAGGTGCAGGAAGTCTCAGAAATTACTACCAAAGAGCTTATCCATGTAATCAAAAGCCACCTGCACCCCCAAAACTATTAAAATTAAAAATACATTTTAAAAATAAAAATAATGCAAATAATGTGTGTGACTCACTCAGCACCAGCCATTAATGCACCTGTCACATCATAGGCACCCGATAATCAGTAACTCTTACTATCAGTACTTTATTTTTAAGTATTCTGATATTTATTTTGGCATGGACCACATTGAAAATCCTGCAAAGTTTAAGGATTTGACAAATGAAGAATAAAAATGAGTTGGCAGAAGATGAAATTTCAGTTGAGTTTTTATCATATTTGCAAGTATGTTGATTCTCTATAGAAAGAGCTCTGTGAATTGTACTTGCTTTATGACAATGAAGATGGGTTTTACAGTACACTGGAAATACGTGATCAGCTTTTATTTTTAAGGACATCTGTGGATAAGCTTTACTAGCTAAAACTCAAATACAGTTTCTCCAGTTTTGAAATATGTATGTGTGGTCTGAATGTACACACACACACACACACACACACACCATCACCACTGACTCTAACCTCTGTAATTTTTGGCTCAAGTCTAAGCTGAAAGGAGTCTCTACATATAAATTAGACAACAAAACAGGCTGCCAAAGCTACGTTTCAAATGGGTGTTGGAGACAAGTAGCACACAGAAGAGGAGAGAGAAAATTAAAAGAGGACAATAGGCAAATACAGAAAGAGACATCACCCTACGTGTATAAGTAGGGTGTGTATAGGTAAGTAGGTAAGTGTATAATTGTTCTTATAGAGTCAGATCCTTTTGGCCTAAGCAGAAAATTGAGCAAGAAAGTAGTGTATTTTATCTAGACAGACACTGACTGTCAGCAAAATAAAGGTGAGTTAGAACATGTACCAGCCAATAGTTGTGGGTAAACAGGTGTCTTCCAGGACAGCATTAGAAAATATCAGGATTAAACATCTCTGATGAAACAACAACAACAACAACAAAAGGATAGCCTAAATGAGTATGTTCCATTTTATCTCAGCGCCTTACTACACTTAATTGTCTTTATCTTTTCTTATGTTACTGCTTTTTTAAAAGATACTCTTACTCGCTTTATAAACCCGAGGACTTCATTTCTGTGCAACACTTGTTAGGTACCAGACATGGGACTCAATGTTGCATGTACAAAGATGAAAAGACACAATTTCTGACTTCAAGAGTGGGAGAACACTGGTACCATCTCCCTGTTTGATTTTCTAGGTAATCAAATGCAAAGCAGCTGTGCTATGGGAGGTAAAGAAACCCTTCTCCATTGAGGATGTGGAAGTGGCACCTCCTAAGGCCCTTGAGGTTCGCATTAAGGTGAAATATTTTTTCCATTTGTATTTAATTTTAAGTTTTAAAAATTCAGATAATATTAAAAATAGAAACGTCCAAAACCAATAAGAGGAATTTTTATGTGATTATCCAGAAAACAGAATTAAATTTGTTGTCAAGGAAAGTATAAATTACTATTTTTTTTAAGTGGGAAAACAGCACATGCAGTATAATTCCAGTAAAATACAAAACAATTTATGCGTTTGTACAGAAAAGAAATGCAAAGGAATAGATATCAAGACTTCAAAATCAATTTGCATTAGATATTTTCTTGGTATTAATTTTCAGTTTCTACTTCTTTTTCTTTTAACTATGCATTCTTCTATATTATGCAAGACAAATATTTTAGGACCAATTACATCACAGATTATTCTAAATTGTTAAATTCAAGGGAGAAAGATAGAGGAAGGCTTGAGATTGAATGATCTTGGAGATAAACAAAATCTTTCATATTTGGGATTGGAGAGAATATCAGCAAAACCCTTGAAAACATGTTAGAATAACAATTTTAGAAAACTGGGTTTGTTAAGTCCATCTGACAGTCATAATCTTTTCTGAACCTAAACATCTTCTCTTTTTTTTTTTTGACTTTTTTTTTTAATATATTGTACTTTAGGTTCTGGGGTACATGTGCAGATCATGCAGCATTGTTGCATAGGTACATACATGGCAATGTGGTTTGTTGCCTCCATCCCCCTGTCACCTATGTCTGGCATTTCTCCCCATATTATCCCTCCCCAACCTCCCCATACCCCTGCTGTGCTTCCCCTGGCCCCCACAACAGACCCTAGTGTGTGATGCTCCCCTTCCTGTGTCCATGTGTTCTCACTGTTCAACACCCACCTATGAGTGAGAACATGCGGTGTTTGATTTTCTGTTCTTGTGTCAGTTTGCTGAGAATGACTGTTTCCAGGTTCATCCATGTCCCTACAAAGGACATAAACTCATTGTTTTTTATGGCTTCATAGTATTCCATGGTGTATATGTGCCACATTTTCCCTGTCCAATCTATCATCGATGGGCATTTGGGTTGGTTCTAAGTCTTTCCTATTGTAAACAGTGCCACAGTGAACATTCAGGTAACTGTATCCTTATAATAGAACGATTTATAATCCTTTGGATCTATATGCAGTAATGGGATTGCTGGGTCAAATGGAATTTCTATTTCTAGGTCCTTAAGGAATCGCCACACTGTCTTCCACAATGGTTGAACTAATTTACACTCCCACCAACAGTGTAAAAGTGTTCCTATTTCTCCACATCCTCTCCAGCATCTGTTTGTCTCCAGATTTTTTAATGATCACCATTCTAACTGGCATGAGATGGTATCTCATATGGTTTTAATTTACATTTCTCTAGTGACCAGTGATGATGAGCATTTTCTCATGTTTTTTGGCCTGATATATGTCTTCTTTCAAAAAGTCTCTTTTCACATCCTTTGCCCACTTTTGAATGGGTTGGTTGGTTTGTTTCTTGTAAATCTGTTTTAGTTCTTTGTAGATTCTGGATATAAGTCCTTTGTCAGATGGGCAGATTGCAAACATTTTTTCCCCTTCTGTTGGTTGCTGGTTCACTCTAATGATTGCATTCTTTTGCTGTGCAGAAGCTCTGGAGTTTAATTAGATCCCATTTGTCTATTTTGGCTTTTGCTGACAATGCTTTTGGTGTTTTAGTCATGAAGTCCTTGCCCGTGCTTATGTCCTGAATGGTTTTATCTAGGTTTTCTTCTAGGGTTTTTTATTATTTTGAGCTATGGTCCTTCGATACCTAGTTTATTGAGAGATTTTTAGCATAAAAAGCTGTTTAATTTTGTCAAACGCCTTCTCTGCATCAATTGAACTAATCATGTGGTTTTTGTCTTTGGTTCTGTTTATGCAGTGGATTACGTTTATAGACTTGCATATGTTGAACCAGCCTTGCATCCCCTGGATGAAGCCTACTTGATGGTAATGGATAAGCTTTTTGATGTGCTGTTGCAATCGGTTTGGCGGTATTTTATTGAAGATTTTTGCATCTAAGTTCATCATGGAAATGGGCCTGAAGTTTTCTTTTCTTGTTGAGTCTCTACCAGGTTTTCATATCAGGATAATGTTGGTCTCATAGAATGATTTGGGAAGGATTCCCTCTTTTTGTAATGTTTGGAATTGTTTCAGAAGGAATGGTACCAGCTCCACTTTGTATGTCTGGTAGAATTTGGCTGTGAACCCATCTGGACTTGGACTTTTTTTAGTTGGTACACTATTAATTGCTGTCTCAAATTCAGCCCTTTTTATTGGTCTGTTCAAGGTTTCAGCTTCTTCATGGTTTAGGTTTGGGAGTGTGCAAGTGTCCAGAAATTTATCCATTTTTTCCAGGCTTACTGGTTTATATGCATAGAGTTGTTTATAGTAATCTGTGATGGTAATTTGTATTTCTGCAGAATCGGTGGTGATGCCCCTTTATTTCTTTTTTTACATCTATTTGATTCTTCTCCCTTTTCTTTTTTATTACTCTGGCTAATAGTCTGTCTGTTTTGTTCATGTTTTCAAAAAACCAGCTCCTGGATTTATTAATTTTTGAAAGGTTTTTTGTGTCTCTATCTCCTTCAGTTCTGCTCTGATCTTTGTTACTTTTTGTCTTTTTCTAGCTTTTGAGGTTTTTATCTTGCTCCTCTAGATTTTTCAATTTTGATGATAGGGTTTTGATTTTAGATCGTTCCTCACATCTCCTGTGGGCATTTGTTGCTAAATTTCCCTCTAGACACTACTTTAAATGTGTCCTAGAGATTCTGGTACATTGTGTCTTTGTTCTTGTTGGTTTCAAATAACATCTTTATTTCTGCCTTCATTTTGTTTATCCAGTAAACATTCAGGAACCAGTTGTTCAGTTGCCATGAAGTTGTGTGTTTCTGAGTTAGTTTCTTAATCCTGAGTTCTAATTTGATTGCCCTCTGGTCTCAGAGACTGTTTGTTATGATTTCCGTTCTTTCAGCATTTGCCAAGGTGTGATTTACTTTAAATTATGTGGTCAGTTTTGGAGTAGGTGCAAGGCAGTGCTGAGAATAATGTATATTCTGTGGATTTGGGGTGGAGATTTCCGTAGGTGTCTATTAGGTCTGCTTCGTCCAGATCTGGGTTCAAGTCCTGGATATCTTTATTAATTTTCTGTCTTGTGGATCTGTCTAATATTGACAGTGGAGTGCTAAGACCTCCCACTATTATTGTGTGGAAGTCTAAGTCTCTTTGTAGTTCATAAAGAATTTTCTTTGTGTATCTGGGTGCTCCTATATTGTGTGCGTATATATTAAGGATTGTTAGATCTTCTTGTTGCATTGATTCTTTTACTGTTATGTAATGCTTTTCTTTGTCTCTTTTGATCTTTGTTGGTTAAAAGTCCATTTTATCAGAGACTAGGATTGCAACTCCTGCTTTTTTTTTTTTTTTTTTTTTTTTGGCTCTCCATTTGTTTAATAAATCTTCCTCCATCCCTTTATTTTTAGCCCATATGTGTCCTTGCATGTGAGATGAGTTTACTGAATACAGCACACTGATGGGTCTTGACTTTTTATCCAGTTTGCCAGTCTGTGTCTTTTGATTGGGGCATTTAGCCTATTTACATTTAGGGTTAATTTTGTTATGTGTGAATTTTATCTTGCTATTTTTATGCTAGTTGAATGTTTTGCCCGTTAGTTGACACAAATTTTCTTCATTGTGTCAATGGTGTTTACCATTTGGTAAATTTTTCAGTGGCTGGTATGGGTTGTTCCTTTCCTTGTTTAGTGCTTCTTTCAGGAGCTCTTGTAAGGCAGGCCTGATGGTGATGAAATCTCTCAGCAATTGCTTGTCCACAAAGAATTTTCTTTCTCCTTCACTTATGAAGTTTGGTTTGACTGGATATGAAATTCTAGGCTGAAAGTTCTTTTCTTTAAGGATGTTGAATATTGGCCCCCACTCTTTTCTGGTTTATAGGGTTTCTGCCAAGAGGTCTGTTGTGAGTCTGATGGGCTTCCTTTTGTGAGTAACCAGACCTTTCTCTCTGGCTGCCCTTAGCATTTTTTCCTTCATTTCAACCCTGGTGAATCTGACAATTATGTGCCTTGGGCTTGCTCTTCTTGAGGAATATCTTTGTGGTGTTCTCTGTATTTCCTAGACATGAATGTTGGCCTGCCTTGCTGGTTTGGGGAAGTTCTCCTGTATAATATCCTGAAGAGTGTTTTCCATCTTGGATTCATTCTCTCCGTCACATTCAGGTACACCTATCAAACGTAGATTAGGTCTTTTCACACAATCCATATTTCTTGGAGGCTTTGTTCATTTCTTTTCACTCTTTTTTCTCTAATCTTGCCTTCTCATTTTATTTCATTGAGTTGATCTTCAATCTCTGATATCCTTTCTTCTGCTTGGTCTATTCATCTATTGAAATTCGTGTATGTTTCATGAAGTTCTCGTGCTGTGTTTCTCAGCTCCATCAAGTCCTTAATCTTCTTTAAGCTGTTTATGCTAGTTAGTATTTCATCTAACTTTTTTTCAAGGTTCTTAGTTTCTTTGCATTGGGTTAGCATATGTTTTTTTAGTTCTGAGAAGTTTGTTATTACCCACATTCTGAAGCCTGTTTCTGTCAGTTCATCAGATTCATTCTCTCTCCAGCTTTGTTCCTTAGCTGGTGAGGAATTGTGATCCCTTGGAGGAGGAGGAGTTCTGGTTTTTGGTGTTTTTATCCTTTTTGCACTGGTTTCTTACCATCTTCTTGGCTTTGTCTACCTGTGGTCTTTGTAGTTGGTGACTTTCAGATGGGGTCTCTAAGTGGACATCCTTTTTGTTGATGTTGAAGCTATTTCTTTCTGTTTTTTAGTTTTCCTTCTAACAGTCAGGCCCCTCTGCTGCAGGACTGCTGGAGGTCCACTCCAGACCCTGCTTACCTGGGGATCACCCATGGGGGTTGCAGAACAGTAAGGGTTGTTTCCAGTTTCTTCTTCTGTTATCTTCATCCCAGAAGGATACACGCCAGATGTCAGCCTGAGCTCTCCTTTATGAGGTGTCTCTTTGGGTACACGGTGGTCAGGGAGCTGCTTGAAGAGACAGTCTGGCCCTTATAGGAGCTCAAGTGCTGTGCTCAGAGTTCTTTTGTTCTGTGCTGCTGAGCAAGTACATTTGAGTCTGCTGCAGTGGAACTCATAACCACCTCTTTTTCCAGGTGCTGTGTCCTAGGATAGTCAGGCTTTAGTTATAAATTCCCGACTGTTGCTGCATTTTTTCATAGATGCCCTGCCCCACATGGATATAGTCTAGTCACAGTCTGCCAGCAGAGACATTGCTGAGCTGCCACAGGCTCTACCCAGCTGCTGTGTGAACTTCCTTGAGGTGGTTAGAACTACCTCTGTATTGGCAGACTTCCTTGGTAGTGGTGGATGCCCTTCACCCCACTGAGCTGGACCATCCTGGGTCCAGCTGCACTTGCTGGGAAACTCTCAATCCAGAGCATTTCAGATTGCTTGTTTTGTAGGTGTGGCACCCTCCGAGCTAGATCACCTGGATCCCTGTCTCAGCCCCCTTCCTTTCAGTTGAATGGGTGGCTCTGTCTCCCAGGCATTCCAGGCACTAGTTGAAATGGCCACCCTTGATTTGTGTGAGTTTCTCTACGCCAACCCACAGCACCAGCTGAAGCAGCCATGCTGGAAACTCTTGATGGTTTTTGGCCCAGGAATGTCGTGGTCTGTGGGCAGTGAAAACTCATTTGGAAATGCAGTAAGAGCTCACCCTCTGTGTTCTTTCTAGGAACTGCACTCCAGAGCTGCTCCTATTTGGCCATCTTGGATGCTTCTCTAAACATTTTCTCTGTATTCTGTAGACTGGTGGCTGTAGGAATCTGTCGTTCAGATGACCACGTGGCTAGTGGCACCATAGTGAGCCCACTTCCTGTGGTTTTAGGCCATGAGGCAGCCGGCATCGTGGAGAGTGTTGGAGAAGGGGTGACTACAGTCAAACCAGGTACAGGACTCACACTCAGGGAACATGCCTTGGCTCACCGTCACAAGATTATTCAGCCTGGATGAGGAAACAGAGGCAGTGAGAGAGAAAAAGGCTTGCACAAGGTCACAGGGAAGCCGTGACTTCAGGGGTTTCCTCCTTCCCTCTCTGCCTGCCTGACTCAGGCATGTGTGCCTTCAGGCATGCATGTGTTCTACCCTTCAACGATTATGTACTGAGGATCTGCTAGATGCCAGGCAACAGTTTAGAGCCTGGAGATACGTGAGGATCAAAAGAGACACAGTGCCTACCAATGTGAATTCATAATCTAATAACTTCGGTGTTAATGTTGCTGAACACTGTCTCCTGTCAGGGCCAGACAACTAGAAATGGGAGGAGGGAAAAGACATAAGTATAGAAACTGTTCTGTGCTGAGTTCACAAAATGGAGGCTACATGGCTATTGCTGAATAAACATTATCTTTTCTTAGGTGGCCTATGGAGTCCCCTTACAAATTTCCTCTTCCAACATGATCTCTCTTTCCAAGCATGACTCAGTGAAGCAGACTAGGTGAAAGGAAATGAAAGAAACATAGCAGGAGCCATCCACTATCAACAATGTCGGCCTTACTACCTTTAGCCATGCTTCAATGCAACTAGTTACAGATCACTAATTATTTTACCTTCAATATTTATTTTACCCTAATCTTATTATGTATTAATATAAATATTTTTAGAGGTAAAGGATGAATAACTAGGACATTTTCATACCATCATTTTTACACAAACTTTGCCTATAGAATATTATGCACCAATCAGTTTTCTTGGTCTTATGAAATAGATAGCATAGGTGATTAAAAATAAAAATTATCTTTAACTCTAAAGCATCACTTTAGCCAGTGGATTCTACCTGCCCCTTACCAAATATTAATTTAGACTGTGAACAGAAAATAATAAAATAAACTGTCCAATTTGAGTTTTAGCTCTTACTATTTTCTTTACTTAGAAATAAATTAATAACGAAATAAAAGCCTTATTTTTCACACCTCCTTTCTCCAGCATGAAAGTATAAATGGACAATTTAAAAATTATCAGCTAAAAATATTTGAAAGTCAATTCTTATCCTAAAAGAAAGTGCCTTATTGTGGAGCATTGAGATTTTCAGATGAATTTCTGTAATTCCTTTTTGTCCTATTTTTGTTAGTTTTCCTCAAAAAAGTACTAAGATCTTTTTTTGAAACCATTTATTTTATAATAAAGATAAGCATAGTCACTTCCAAAAGGCAAGACTTGCTTCAAAATTCCACATCTTCCCGACATCTACTGGAAATATAATAGACTACTTTCAACTAAAACTGTATAATTATACTTACAGGAAGATTATTTAATTAAGATTTAATTAGACGAGGATTACATAAATTATATTTGCAAAGCCTCTAGGAGAAATTAGTGCTCTCAATAAAAGTTTATTAATACAGTGGAAGTAATATTTTTAATCCATGTTGTTTTCCACATTTGCATTTTTTATTTAGAAATCTTCAGGCACTTATAAACCCAAACTAAAAAACAATGCCTTGGCAGGCAGTGACAAATGACATAGTTGTGATTGGATATATTTCATGGAGACTTTTCAGACACGTGATTCTGATCTATACATGTGAGCTTTAAGCTTTTGCTCTATTAATTTCTTGATAGATATTGTAAAAGAATTTGATTTATTCCCCTCCAGGTGATAAAGTCATCCCGCTCTTTACTCCTCAGTGCGGAAAATGCAGAATTTGTAAAAACCCGGAAAGCAACTTCTGCTTGAAAAGCGAGTAGGTTTTTGATGCTCTCTTTGCACAGAATTTGAGTTTGCACATTAGTTATGCTCCTGTCTCATGCCTGTGTGTGTGTCTGTGTATTGCACTGCCCAGTCTCAGCAATCATCGGGGGACCCTGCAGGATGGCACCAGTAGATTCACCTGCAGAGGGAAGCCCATCCACCACTTCCTTGGCATCAGCACCTTCTCCCAGTACACGGTGGTGGATGAGAGTGCAGTGGCCAAAATTGATGCAGCCTCGCCCCTGGAGAAAGTCTGCCTCATTGGCTGTGGATTTTCGACTGGTTATGGGTCTGCAGTCAAAGTTGCCAAGGTAAGAAAGATAATGGGTGATAAAACTGGTTACACGCAGACTGTCAGGAACCAAAAGGGAAGCACTTTCTCACAAAAATTAAGGATTATTTTTGTAGATTTGGAGTATTGATTAAGAGTAGAAAAATGGCCCAGAAAGAATTGAGAGCACATGCTAGAAATTTCACCTGTTTATCACAGATAAAATATTGAATTAAGAAAATATAAGGATGTCATTTTCAATAATTTTTCTTCTGAATTTGCTGTTTATGGGATCATGAAATTTTAGGTCTGAAAAATAACTCATGTAGTAATTCATACAACAATTAACGGCTACACATGCCTCAGGCACTGCAGGTTCTGCTGGGCTCTGACAGCAAAAGTTAATGAAATGCAGCAATTGCCCTTGAGGAGCATCTAGTCTGTGGATCCTCTACTCTCAGAATTAGGATCAACAGCAGAGTCCAAAGCCTTATGTGATGCACCTCCAAACCATGCCTCACCCACTCTGTGGATTCTTAGAAGAAAATAATGAAGCTTCAGGGATGTGTAATTCATCATTATGGCATTTCACTGCTAAAACTATCTTCCCTGCCATGAACACACACATATACTTCAGACATGGTAAATTTCAAGCAGAAATTCTTTAAAGGCTCCTAATCTGAGTAGGCTGAAAATCTAGCAGTATGCATTATTTTATGAAACCAAGGTTCAGAGATATAAAGATATTTGCCCAAAATCTCACTGCTGCTTAACATGAGAGGTGAGACTAAAATATCTTTCTCAAATCTCCTGCTGAAACTTAAATCACAATCCATAATCATTAGCACTTTTAAATCACAGGCGAAAGCCTTGTATTTTTCTAAGGTAGAAAGTGGTGTTGTCCTCCATAGTATTGAATAATACTTGGTGAATGAATGAATGAATAAATAAATAAATAGACACCCTTAAGGGAATATAAGAATGAGATTACTCAGAACAGGAAGAGCATGTTACCCACAATGAAGGCTGACTATGGGACTCTAGGTTTAATAAATAACCCCTAGGCAATTTAAACCAATTAGAGAACATCTTTTCCAAATTTTGGTAACTTTAGCACTTACTCCCTTTGTTCAATTACCTCATCAGTTTTAATGGGTGGTCTAAGTGAGCCTACCCATAAACAGAAGCTGAGGATACTCATAGCAATAGATTTTATTATCAAAATACAGACTAATGTTTCATTGCTATGTTGTTCACTACTGTATTTTTTAAATCAGGGATATACTGGTCATGACCACTGAACATAAATGAGCAGAGGAGTTAATTATTGAGGGTTTAAGTGGATTATTTTTCATTTCCCGGGAGTATACTTTTCCACTTATTTTCTAAATATTGCCTTTGGGCATATATGAGATACTGAAGCTATCATGGATTTCAGCAATTGAGAGTCCCTTCAATATCATAATCACTACCATCTAGATCTCAAAGATCATCCAGTCCCCTGGTTCCCAGCCTAACCTTCCCACTGGAGTCACCTGGTGACAGAGTTCCACCTGCAGAGATTCTGATTTAATTGGCATGGGTTGTGACCTTGAAAATGGGATATTTTTTAAAGCTTCCCAGGTGAATTTAATATGCAGCAATTTGTGAACCATTCAACTAGCATAACCTTTTGGATTTAAACATGAAGCATCTCAAGTCGAAAGAGGTTTTGATAACAGGCTGGACAGAAGAGTCTGAGTAGCTCTTGATAAACACCGAGGCATATCACTTTATAAAGCTTAAGCAATTTCTAACTATCATTACTTAATCCATTTTTGCATTTTCTGAAAACACAGGTCACCCCAGGCTCTATCTGTGCTGTGTTTGGCCTGGGAGGGGTCGGCCTATCTGTCGTTATGGGCTGCAAAGCAGCCGGAGCAGCCAGGATCATTGCGGTGGACATCAACAAGGACAAATTTGCAAAGGCCAGAGAGTTGGGTGCCACTGAATGCATCAACCCTCAAGACTACAAGAAACCCATCCAGGAGGTGCTAAAGGAAATGACTGATGGAGGTGTGGATTTTTCGTTTGAAGTCGTCGGTCGACTTGACACCATGGTATGTACCATGACGTGCCCTGAGATTTCTGCTTCTGCAACATGGAGGATGTATTTAGGCAGCAGAATATATGTACTATTTATAGATGCTATTTTTAGTGATGAACAGAAATTTCCCATCATCTGTTTGTTACCTGGCTTATTTAATTTATTGTTATGAGAAATCTTCCAATCAATCAGCTAAGCAAACCTGTCTTAAGTCATATTTTCTCTTGAGGAAAGAAAAAGGACTTGTTTTTCTTCACAGACCCACTACAGATATACTTTATTATTTTTTAGTTAAAAATGCAAACCTAAGTAAATATAAGTAATACAAATTCATTTCTCAAATTAAAGAGTTTCATTTTCCTTTTACATTCTTAGCAAAAATACTTTAATAATTTTGTATATGTTCTTAATAAATTCCAAACTTTTTTACATACTATTCTTCAGTCAAAAGTAATGCACAAGTTTAGACCAACTGTTATTTTAATTAAAGAGGATATCCCATAAAGAAAGTCACTGCTTTAATGCATCATTATATTTTATCACAGAAACTGGACAGTGCTGGCACATAGCTAATACTCAATACTACTTGGACTGAGGACTTTAAAAAGTCAACAGATTTTACTACCCACAAAAGTTAAGAGCTACATAGCTACATATCTTATGGCATTGTTTATGAAATACATGAGACAATCCATGCAAAATACTTCATGCAGTACAAGCTGTCATGTTTCATGTGGTAAGCTCCAAATAAATGTCAGCTGTCTTTTTTTTTTTTTTTTTTTTTTTTTTTTTTTTTTTTTTTTTTGAGACAGGGTCTTACTGTGTCACCCAGGCTGGAACATAGTGAGTATAGCTCACTGCAGCCTCAACCTCCTGGGCTCAAGCTATTCTCCTACCTCACCCTCCAAAAATACGGAGTACAGACATGAGCAACCATGCCCAGCCTCAGCTGGCATTATTGACATGAAATACTATTTCCAATCTTGCAGTTCTTACGTCATCTTGGGCTTATTACATGGTGTTACTTTCAAACAGTTACAAATATCAATTGCAATAGGAAACACATCTCTAGCTATATTTCACCTACCCAGAATTCTCTAGAATCCTACTGAAAAAGTCTCCAGGACCAGTAAGTTTTCATTGCTGAGATTTTCTAGAAGTTCCAACAGTGTGGGTAATGGGGAGAAGCACCCTGAGATCAAAGCTCTCAGCAGCCTTGACCTGGGACAAATGCCACAGAGGAATAAAGTGTGAAGAGAATCCAACTTTTTCCAGGGTTATAGCTTTTCTCCTTATGCTCTTTTTCTATATTTTCATTCATTTTCTCATGTGGATCTGGAGTGTACCTGATCTCAAGACACCAAATGTCTAACAGGCACATGTTTTGAGGATGTCTGGTCTTGCAAAGATCAGTATCCAAAATCAAAAAACTAATCATTACATACCTTGGGGGGGGGATCCTAAACCACTTTCTAACTATAGAACATGCTTAAAAAGATGACTAGAAAAGACTTTCTGAGCTGTCTTTTGAGGTTCCCAAATAACCAATGTAATTTCATGTAAAACCAGTATACATTTGGGGAGGTAAAGACAATGTTTAAAACATGTCCATTTGAGAAATGGACAGTAGAACAGGAATCTGTTTGAAAAAGGGAGACTATCAAGTGGACAAGAGACAAATTTTGGTGAATGCTTATCCTGTTCACCATCAAAATATCTGATTGAAAGAACTGGGTTCAGACTGGGCATGGTGGCTCACACCTGTAATCCCAGCACTTTGGGAGGCAGAGATGGGCAGATGACCTGAGGTCAGGAGTTCTAGACCAGCCTGACCAACATGGTGAAATTGTGTTTCTACTAAAAATACAAAAAGTAGCCGGGCGTGATGGTGTGTGCCTGTAATCCCAGCTACTCAAGAGGCTGAGGCAGGAGAATCACTTGAACCTGGGAGGAGGAGATTACAGTGAGCCGAGGTCACGCCCCTGCAATCCAGCCTGGGTGACAGAGTGAGACTGTCTCAAAAAAAATATATACATATATACTGGGTTCAAAATACCTACTAAACAAATCAATGAAAAATGAATTAACTAATTCATAGATTGTCTAAAAATTATGTATGCTCGTATAAGCAACCAGACTTTATGTATATTTGTAATGCTGTCTGCCTCTTTATTCCTTTTTCAGGAAGAACTTAGTGCACATCAATTTATTCATCCATTCTTTCATTCAAAAACCATTTTCTGGGCATTTCCTGAATCGACAGGAATATCCTATGCATAAAAAAAGGGGGGGAATGAAGGAGCAAAAGACATGATCTCTTTCCTCTACACACTCAAAATCCAGTTAAGCCCTATTACATGATATTGTGCATTGTGAGTAGGAACTATACTACTCCAAGTTAAGGATGATAAATATTCACTGTATTTCAGATGGCTTCCCTGTTATGTTGTCATGAAGCATGTGGCACAAGCATCATTGTAGGGGTACCTCCTGATTCCCAAAGCCTCTCAGTGGAACCTATGCTGCTACTGACTGGACGCACTTTGAAAGGAGGTATTTTTGGAGGTAGGTAGGTAGGCTTCAGAGCCAAATTCTCATTAACCTCCGAATTTCTCTCCTTTTATGAGTGACAAGACAAGGTTTTGAAAAACAACAAAATCAAAAATATATTAAAATTTCTTTTTTATCTATAGTCTCCAAATCAACCTGATGTGGAACTAATGCAGAACTTTTTTTTTTTTTTTTTTTTTTTGGAGACCAAGTCTCACTCTGTTGCCCAAGCTGGAGTGCAGTGGCACAATCCTGGCTCACTGCAACCTCTGCCTCCCAGATTCAAGTGATTCTTTTGTCTCAGACTCCCAAATAGCTGGGATTACAAATGTGCACCACAGCGCCCAGCTAATTTTTTTTCTGGTAGAGATGAGATTTCACCATGTTGGCCAAGGTGGTCTCGAACTCTTGACCTTAAACAATCTGCCTGCCTCAGTCTCCCAATGTGCTGGGATTACAGGCATGAGGCACCATGCGCAGCCCCAAGATAGACTTTTCTGATGTCACTATTAACCAGAATCTTTCATCTCCCCCTCTTTTTGTACTTGTGACTGCATAAGGCAAATTAATTTCTAGTAGGCCATGGAAATCTATAACAATAAATCATCTACATGCAAATCTAGAAAACTGATGAATTTGCTTCTTAACTTTGGGCATAACTTCTGTACTATAATTTTTCTGTGTGAGAGAGAGTAACTAAAGACCCTTGTGTATCTGTAATTTTTTTTTAAGTCAAAGCATGGTAAAAACATATTGAAGTACTCTATCTCTTATTATCCTCAGTTATGGCAATCTGGAATGCAGCACCTTTTCTAAACTTCCATTTATTTGGAAAATCTTCTCTTAAATTCTCCTACTTACCTTGGTTGACTCTAACAATGATATTGTCTTCTTTTCAGGCTATAAGAGTAAAGAATCTGTTCCCAAACTTGTGGCCGATTTTATGGCTAAGAAGTTCTCCCTGGATGCGTTAATAACCAATGTTTTACCTTTTGAAAAAATAAATGAAGGATTTGATCTGCTTCGCTCTGGAAAGAGGTAGATTTTAAGTGGTTTTTTTTTGTTTGGCTTTGTATTCTACAGTAAAGAGTTGCCTAACAGAGATGAAAGGGTGGAAGGATGAGAAAAATTAGAGTAACTTGGTTTTCCATTACCAGTTCAGTCTTTGCATGGCACACAGGTAAGATCATACTGTGAGAAGCTAAAATACAGTCGTTTTGCATTTTCTATTCTGTTGAAGCCAAATTATGTTTATTACAGCAAATCTGAATAATTAGAGTCACTCAGTCTTATTTAAAAGAGAACACTCACTTTGGCACCTACCCCCTTAAAAAAAAGTTTAGTTAAAGAACCATAATTATAACGTGGAATCATTGACACCTCTGCCTGTCATCCAAATAAGGGTAACATCTAATTATTTTCAGGACTACCTCAGCATTTTCATTATGGGAGTAGGTGAGACTACATTTGGATTGTTTTCTAAGTAGGTGTTACTAGATTTTCCTTTTACTTTTTATTGTAGTTTATAAAAAAATTACAAAGAAAAGTTGTTGTAAAAGACAGGTACTAAACCCTATTATAAATGTTTATCTTACATTTTCTCTAAGCCTTAGAAAAATAAGCCAATTCTATTTCCTACTGTTGGGGTTCAGGGGTTCAGGGGTGCCCTCAGTTCCCCTGAGAGGACGTTTCTCCAAGGTTCTTGGTCTCCTGTTTGCTAAAGAATGAGAGAGGAGAACAGGTGAACTCACAAAGTACATTGCAGACCCCAAACAGAGTTTCTGCAGAAAGCAAATTTATTTTAGATGGAGAAAGAAAGAAAAAAGGAGAAGAAGAGAGAAAACTTCCACACAAGAGAGAGAGTGTGTGGAAAGGGATTCCAGAGAGAAAATCTAGGAGAGAGAAAGGCTTACACAAGAGAGTTTGTGGAAAGGGATTCAAACATGGACTCCAAAGGGGTGTGAAACAAGGGAACTTTTAACCTGGGAGGAACCCCCACCTTCTCCAAGACCTCTGGCCAACGAATTGAGTTCCTAAGAACTTCCGCTGGAGTGATTGACTTTTTTATTCTTCCTGTGCCCATGAAAATTAAAAAAGAGACTGTTAAATCTCCCAGATGGAGAGAGATGAGAGCGGGGCATGGTGCTGGGAAGTTCTTGCCCTTAAAACTATGCCCCCTTGTGGACCCAGAAAGAGAACACATTCCCTCATTCCCCACTCTGAACAGGAAAGTTTAACACGGGGGTCAATCGCTTTTTAACTACTTCCTGCTGAAACGGGGCATAGAAGGGGCCCTGAAATTGAGGTTTCCCCCAGAGGGGAGACTTTTAGGGGTGCAGGCTGATCCTGAGGTTCATGATAGAGCCCACAAGCCAAGGACATCTGGAGTTTCTGTGGCAGGATTAATTGTGACCTTACGGTTCTATAAGAAATGAATGTGACGAGGTGGTTAAAGACGAGAGGCCCAGAGGCCAACAAATGTAGAATGGTTATAAACAAGCCTAGGAGAGAATAGAGCCAGGACAGTCAGTTGTTAAACAAGCTTCGCAATACTGTTTCTTGAAGATTTTTAGCCCTGTGTTTGATTTATTCCTGAGTTCTGCATTCAAAATAATACTTGACTGGTTTACAAAATAGCAGCATTTTTCTAGAAAAAGACTATGAAAAGGATAATCAGAGTTTGAGAGATAGCAGAGTTGAGGGTTATAGTTCTGTTAATGCCAGGATATAAATTAAACTTCTGCGTGGTTACTTTCCTGAGGATCTTGTTGGAAAAGCAGATGTAGATCTTCTAATGGCTCACTGGTGTATGAAGGGTTGTCTCCTGGAACTTCAGGCTGCAGAGTGGAGGGTCTCTGACTTTTCAGGAGGTGTCCAAGGCTTCAGCCAAGTGTGATGAATCCATGAGTCAATTCTCACCACCTTAACCACTATTGGGGTAGACAGAATGACCAAAAATTGTCCTTCCCAGGATGGGCCTGGAGAGGGAGAGTCTGAGGGGAGAGAATTAACAAGCACCAAGTCTCCAGGGCAGGAGAGAAATACTGAGAAGACCATGCGAGTGTCCAGGAGAAGATTAAATTTCTTGGACCTCTATGGTCAGCTTTACCCGGGGCTCTGTGAGAGTGATGGCTCATGCTGGCACTTGCTCCAGGCATCCTCAGTTCTGCCATTGGATCATCTGATCAGACACTTAGGCCCTGAGAACCTTCGGCCCCTGGGACAGTGGGTATGGACAAGAGGGTGGTCCATTCCTCTGGGGACAATTTCTTATAAAATATCCTTCAGACTGCACTGGTAACAAGCTCTGCCAGCCTGGCAGCTGACAGGAACCTTTCCCTCCTTTGAGCCCCTGGGGTCTGCTTGCTTGAAAGCCATGACTAAGGCAGCAAACTTTTTCTGATTTCTCCTGTTCCTTTCAGCCTGTTCCTCCTAGTCTCTATTATAAAACACCAAGGTTGCCTGATTCAGTAATGATTCTAGACTCTGTTCTGACCCCAAGACCAGCTTTTGAAGCTTCCTCCTGATATCTGCTGCTGATTGAGTAATAAACTTGTCCTTTAGTATTAACTGACCCTCAATGGAGTCTGGTGACAGAAGAGTGTAATTTCTTAAAGCCTCCCACAGTTGCTCAAGGAAAGCTGTTGGGTTTTCTTCCCTTCCCTTTGGGGGCTAGGTTTTCCACTTGGCAGAGGGTAATTTGGCCACGCTGTTTGGCAGAGAAAAATGAGCTGCTTCTTCCTTAAAGACGGTGTGCCAAATTGGTCCCAATTTTTCAGTATACACTGTAATGGGGACTTGAGCTTGGGAATAGAAGCACCCATCTGAAATTGAACACAAGGGATGCCCGTACCCCTGGTTAAAGAAATTACAGCCACTTTGACCTAAGGCATCTTTTAGGTAAAATGGGTACTGAAATGAAACACCTTTCAGTCAGTACCCTGAAATTTCATGTGCCCAAGATGTGTGATCCATCTTATCAGAGGGCCTCCTATGTACTGGATTCGAATCATGACCTACCAGCATCATAGGACTCATGCTCACTGTCTGCAGGACCTCCAGTGACTACCACAGAGGCATGGAATGAAAGGGGCTATTCAGTTGGGTAGTCACCTACCAATGAGCCCTTGATGAGGCCAGTGAGGCTCAGGAGATGGGTACCAATATTCCCCAGCAAAAGTCCAATTTACACAGGCCAACTTATAAAACTGCCCTAGAAGGGTAAACTTCTAGGGAGAGGCCATTAGAGCACACAGTTCAAAGAAGGCAGGCCAGGCGTGGCTGATGCTGGAACAATACCTCAGGACCTGGGCCTCCTCTCCACTAACACATCTTTCATTGTAGGAAAATGCCCTTAAGGTTGTGAGACTTGCCATTGATTATTTGGGCCCTGGAACTGGCTTAATTGTGATCTTCTGGATGGAAAAGTTCTGCCGTAGAGAAAGAGCAAATCCTAAGCAAGACAAATGATACACAAAACACAAAGTCCCATAGCCTTTAGCTTCTAAATTTCCCAAAAGGTTTTTCTAAGTCAAGACTGACTTCACCAGATATTGGAACCAACAAATTTGCAGTTACAGGCCCTACACCTTAACCAACTGTGCTAACAGGCCACTTGCATTAAGGAAAGGCAGAAAGCTTTCTTAAGCCGTATTTTGAATTAGAATACTGCACCCTGAGGTGGTGTCCCAGGTGGAGCTGACAGCCAGCAGCCATTTCCCTTCTCTCAGTCCGGAGAGAAAAAAAAAGTAGTTTGCCTCTGTCAGTTTAAAAGCCAGGCCTCTGCACCACCCTGCTGGGTGCCAGAGGGGAAGATCTGCCCCATGTTTCGCTCCACCATGATGCCAGGACCATGTGCACACCCTGAACCACTCCTCCAGTTGCTGCCCACACAGGGACCCATGGCTGGCAGGCTAATGCCCCAGGGGAAGTTCCCTTGCTCCGTCCCTGATGGCAGGTTTTTTATTTTATTTTTTTATTTATTTATTTTTTTAATTGCGTTTTAGGTTTTGGGGTACATGTGAAGAACATGCAAGATTGTTGCATAGGTACACACATGGCAATGTGGTTTGCTGCCTTCCTTCCCCTCACCTGTATCTGTCATTTCACCCCATGTTATCTCTTCCCACCTCCCCACCACCCTGTCCCTCCCCCATTTCCCCCCAACGGACCCCAGTGTGTAGTGCTCCCCTCCCTGTGTCAATGTGTTCTCATTGTTCAACACCTGCCTATGAGTGAGAACATGCAGTGTTGGATTTTCTGCTCTTGTGTCAGTTTGCTGAGAATGATGGTTTCCAGGTTCATCCATGTCCCTACAAAGGACACGAACTCATCGTTTTTGATGGCTGCGTAATATTCCATGGTGTATATGTATCACATTTTCCCTATCCAGTCTATCATCGATTGGCATTTGAGTTGGTTCCAGGTCCTTGCTATTGTAAACAGTGCTGCAATGAACATTCATGTGCATGTGTCCGTATAGTAGAATGATTTATAATCCTTTGGATATATACCCAGTAATGCGATTGCTAAGTCAAATGGGATTTCTATTTTTAGGTCATTGAGGAATCGCCACACTGTCTTCCACAATGGTTGAATTAATTTACACTCCCAACAACGTGTAAAAGTGTTCCTATTTCTCCACATCCTCTCCAGCATCTGTTGTCTCCAGATTTTTTAATGATCGTTCTCTAATGACCAGTGATGATGAGCATTTTTTCATATGTTTGTTGGTCTCATATATGTCTTCTTTTGTAAAGTGTCTGTTCATATCCTTTGCCCGTTTTTGAATGGGCTTGTTTGTTTTTTTTTCTTGTAGATCTGTTTTAGTTCTTTGTAAATTCTGGATATCAGCCCCTTGTCAGATGGGTAGACTGCAAAAATTTTTTCCCATTCTGTTGGTTGCCGATTCACGCTACTGACTGTTTCTTTTGCCGTGCAGAAGCTGTGGAGTTTGATTAGGTCCCATTTGTCTATTTTGGCTTTTGTTGCCATTGCTTTTGCCATTTTGATCATGAAGTCCTTGCCTATGCCTATGTCCTGAATGGTTTTGCCTAAAAACTGACTGCAGTTTTTAACAGCCCAGTTCCGCAGTTTCATGCAGGCCCTGCCTTCAGGACCAAGAGCAACCAGCAAAAGCACTTCCCAGCTTTGCTTTTTTAAGTGCTGCCCCTCTGCTTAGCACGGGTGGCAAGAGTGTTCAGGGAACTTATAGCACTTAGAGCCTCTGCGCCTGGCCAGGACACACTGAGTCCCTTCCCCATTGCTTTTCTCTCTGCCAGCAGTGCTGGTGGCTGCAACTCTTGCTGCATATGCTCCGGCCTGCCCCTGGGGCTGAGCTGTTCCAGGCCGACAATGAGCGAAAGGCCTGGGGGAGGTGCTCCCCTGCTCCTCCCTGCACAGGAGCCCAGTGCCCAGCCACACCGAATGCGCCCAGGTCTACCCCTGGTAACTGCACATAGCATTTGCCGGTCCCTTCTCCCACAGGTTTTTGCCCAGAGAAACAGCCAAGAGGGAGAGGGAAAGAAAGACAGAGAAGGAAAGCCAGGAGAGGGAAAACAGAGAGAGAGCTCGGAGGAAAAAAACTGAGCTTTTAATTCTGGCTTGGCCACACCGCTTAAGACAGGTTGGGTTGTGCCCCTGAGGCTGGACGCGGCTGTTCCAGTTCCCGCAGCCCTGCCTGGCTGAGGCCACTTCAGGTGTTCTTAAAGAGACAGGACAGAATGGGGCAGTTTTACTTACAGTTAGAAGTTTTCTTCTCTGGCTGTACCCCTTTCCTGGCTGTACCTCCTCCTGGCTGTACCCCTCTCCTGGCTGTACCCCCCTCTTGGCTGGCTCTCCAAAATGTTGGGGTTCAAGGGTGCCCTCAGCTCCCCTGAGAGGACATTTCTCCAAGGTTCTTGGTCTCCTGCTTGCTCAAGAATGAGAGAGGGGACCAGGTGCACTCACAAAGTAAATACCAGACCCCAAACAGAGTTTTCGCAGAAAGTGAATTTATTTTAGGTGGAGAAAGAAAAAAAAAAGAAGAGAGAAAACTTCCACATGACAGAGAGAGAAAATGTGTGGAAGGGGACTCCAGAGGGAAAATCTGGGAAAGAGAAAGACAGCTTACATGAGAGAGTTTGTGGAAGGGGATTCAAACATAGAATCCGAAGGGGTGTGGAAGAAGGGGACTTTTTTTTTTTTTCTTTAGACGGAGTTTCGCTCTTATTGCCCAGGCTGGAGTGCAATGGCATGATCTTGGCTCACCGCAACCGCCACCTCCTGGGTTCAGGCAATTCTCCTGCCTCAGCCTCCTGAGTAGCTGGGATTACAGGCACGCACCACCATGCCCAGCTAATTTTTTTGTATTTTTAGTAGAGACGGGGTTTCACCATGTTGACCAGGATGGTCTCGATCTCTTGACCTCGTGATCCACCCGCCTCGGCCTCCCAAGGTGCTGGGATTACAGGCTTAGAAGGGGACTTTTAACCTGGGAGGAACCCCCACCTTCTTCAAGACCTCTGGCCAACAAAGGGAGTTCCTAAGAACTTCCGCTGGAGTGATTGACTTTTTGATTCTTCCCGTGCCTGTGAAAATTAAAAAAGAGACCGCTGTATCTCCTGGATGGAGAGAGATGGGAAGAGGGCATGGCATTGGGAAGTTCTTGCCCCTAAAATTGTGTTCCCTTGTGGACCAGGAAAGAGAACACATTCCCACACTACCTCTAACATTTAGTCTTACAATCACCTAATATAATGAACTGTGTTGCTTGCATTTATATGAACCATAACTGGAAACAGGCTGTTATATCTAACCTCTGCCTTCTAGCTCCAAAGTCTGAGATGTTTCTGCTATCCCACGCTTAATTTCATGAGATTTTCAATTTTAAATAGTGTTTCTTTGGCACTCACAAAACTATTATACTAGATATTTTATCCAACATATATTCTTGAGGAGGGAAAGAAACTAGCGCCGACAGAGCACCGGCTGTTCTGCTAAGTGTCTTACCTGCATTATCTCATGTGAGTCCCAGACAATGCTCAGTGTCAATCTCAATCTCACTGTCTTAGAGAGGAGAAAACTGAAAAGCAGAGAAGATATGACTTGGTCAAAATCATCAGGTGGTAGGAAGGGGAGCCGGAATTCAAAGGCAGATCTTGTTGCTAGTAAACCTATTATATATATATGGAAAACAGTCATCATCAAAGGTTAGTTATCATTGTCATCATTATTGTCATTGACTCATCATCATAGAGCTGATAAGATGATGGCAAATAATAGATGACCAAAACCAGAGGACAGTGTTGAGCAACAAAAGAAGTCATTAAGCTTGCCTAAATTCACTGTATAAGAATGTCATATAGTAATATGCATGTTTAAATAAAATAAATTCTATCAATAAGCAAAGATTAAAAAATTGTAATAATTAATATTGGTAAATTATTACCAAGGTGACTAGGGCACCAATAGTAATTGATACATCCTTTTGGGGAAGCAATTTGGTGATTTGTGTCAGAAACCTCCAAAAAAAAAAAAAAGAAAAAGACTGGATCCTTTGTCCCAGCAATACCATTTCTAGAAATCTATAGAAATAATCACCTGAAACATACATATATGTTTAAGCACGTTTACTTGTTATCTGTAATAACAATATTTAGAAACATTTGAAAAGTCCAACATTAAGAATATGATTGAATAAATTCCAACCATTAGAAATGAAAAAAATGAATTTATTGGCAAATTCTCATAATTTAATTTTAGACTCACAAAATAAAACACATAAATTGTATTTACAGGATGATCCCAAATTTTCAAAAAGGATAGTAAAAAATGTATGTGTCTAGAAAAAAGTTGATAGAATTCAAGAAACCATTGACCATGATTACTCTGAAGTTGTAAGATCACAGATATTTTTACCTGCTTCTTCTGTGCTGTGTTCTCTAAATTATGTATGTATATTTTTCTTATATATGTACACACACACACACACACACACACACACACACATAAAATTCTCAGATTCACAAAGACCATCTTTTCTTAAAAGTATTCATCAAAAGTTGGTTTATAGAAAGGGCATTAGTTCTAGTGTATATGTTATATTTCTAATCTTCACAAGAATGAAGTATTCTAGAATTAATATAAATCAACTTTATTCTCTACTTCTAAGAATCCTTAAACATCTCTGTATCAAAGGTCTATTAAACTTCCAGCATGGTCCTAACTTTATTATCAGTCCTTTCAGGCAAGTTACCTACCATCTTAGAGTTTGTATATATTTATATTTGGGTTTGAATCCCAACACTCTATACCAGATGTGTGACCAGAGCAAGTTACACATCTTTTTAAGTCTCAGTTTTTATAATCTCTAAAATAGAAATAATGTGAAAACCCACTTTTAGTGTCATTGTTTAGGTTGAGATTTAAGTGAAAAAAATGCTTGAAGTATGTGACAAATAACAAGAACTTACTGCATGTTATTGTCTGTTGTTGTTTTATATTCTTTATCATACCAGGAACACGGACACTCAAAAATGATTTTTTGAAGATGCTAATGTGGATTTAAAGTCTAAATGACAGGCATACTCAGGATGTTATGAGTGAGCATGGAAGCATGTGGATTGTCTAAATGTTAACACAATGTCTCTTCTTTCTTGTTGCAGCATCCGTACCGTCCTGACGTTCTGAGACAATACAGATGTCTTCCTTTGTGACCTCCTCCACCCTACACAATCTGGAGCAACAGCTGGGCAATATCATTAAATCTGCTCTTCAGAGATGTTATCAACAAATTACAGTGTGGGAACTTTCCAAAGAAATGGAAATTGACATGAAATTATTTTTCAAGCAAAAGTTTAAAATCCAGATGAGAACTAAATAAAGTGTTGAACATCAACTGGAGAATTAAAGCCCATAAATCTTCCTTCTTAATCATTCTACTTGTGTCATCTTTGCCATTGAGGAAAACTATTTCCTATGACTTCTTGCACTTTTGATATCTTCAGAATTTTCAGTCATTGAATCCCAGTGAAGGGGACCCTTCACTTGCACTGAAGATAACCATGTTATGCTCTTGTGCTTGAAATCTTCTAATTCTATTTTCACTGTTGGCATTTTCCCTTTTTGTTTAACAAAATGTACCAAAGTCCTAAAGTAAAAACTACAATATCATAAAGAATAGACTCAGATTTATAAGTGAAGAACGTCCAGAAGTTCTAAATCCAGGATTTTTCTTAGTAACTCAAATAAAATTTCACACATTTTAATACAGTGAAGGGAAAGGTTTTTATTGCTTTTATGCTATTTGTTCACAGTGAAAAGTCAGGAAACAACAATTGCTGGAGAGGCTGTGGAGAAATAGGAACACTTATACACTGGTGGTGGAAATGTAAATTAGCTCAACCATTGTGGAAGACAGTGTGGTGATTCCTCAAGGCTCTAGAATGAGAAATACCATTTGACCCAGCAATCCCATTACTGGGTATATACCCAAAGGATTATACATCATTCTACTAAAAAGTCACATGCACACATATGTTTATTGTGGCACTGTTCACAATAGAAAAGACTTCGAACCAACTCAAATGCCCATCAATGATAGTCTGTATAAAGAGAATGTGGCACATATACACCATGGAATACTATGCAGACATAAAATGGATGAATTCGTGTCCTTTGCAGGGACATGGATGAAGCTGGAAATCATCATTCCCAGTAAACTGACACAGAAACAGAAAACCAAACACTACATGTTTTTGCTCATAAGTGGGAGTTGAGCACATGGAAACAGGGAGAGAAACATCACACACCAAGGCCTGTCATGAGGTAAGGGGCTAAGGGAGAGATACCATTAGGAGAAAGACCTAATGTAGATGATGGATTGATGAGTGCAGCAAACCACATGGCACGTGTATACCTATGTAACAAACCTGCACGTTCTGCACATGTATCCCAGAACTTAAAATTTAAAGTTTTATATATGTATATATATATATATATATATATATATATATATATATATATAATAATTGATTTTTTAAAAAGCAGATTTTGTGCTTCATGTGACAAACTTAGATTCAGACACTAAATGTGAAAACTGAACTATTTCTAGAATCACGTTTTAAAAATCTCTAATTTTTGCTCATGAAAGAGTTTCGTTAGCAAAACAGTCTTAGTTTATTATTTCAATTGACCAAAAATGAATTGTAAAGTAATTTAAAGCATTATGGTGGCTTTATGTGTAGAGATTGGGTGCCAAGTGCTGTGAGCACAGAATATAAAATTGGTATCTAAGAAATGGCAAAAAACACCTAAAGCAATATGTTTTCCAAATACACACACACACACACACACACACACAAACACACACACGTACATTTGTGCAAAATTGTTTTCAATCTAGAACTTTCCTATTAACTACCATGCCTTACATCAAGTCTATGATCCTAGAATTAGCTTAATATTTTGAATATGTAAAGTCCTGTGGTGCTCGCTTGTTAATGCTTTCCCACTGTAAGAAGATTCGCATTTTGAATTTTATCTCTAAATGTAACATGTAAAGGTTATTCCTGGTAAAGAAGTTACAGCTCTCTCCAAAAATGCTACTTGTTGCAGTATCTACAATCTATTTCATATTGTGGAAGACCCTAAACATAAAGTAAAATAGTCTATTATTTACTGTGTGACCTTCAGTAAGTCACTCAATCTCTCTGAGCTTATTCAGCCATCATTTCAAAAAAAAAAAAAAATACTCAGCCAACCCATTATAGCTTTACTGAGGCTGAATGGGATGGTATCAAATAAAGCACTTTGCCAACTGGGAAAGGCCTTCTAAATGTAGAGAACATGTGATTGTTTTTTCAAAAATGCTGAAGGAGACACTCAGGTTTAAGACAGTTTTGAGAATCTCCCTAAGATAACATCATGGGACACTACCAGTTGCTGGGTGTTCTGTGGCTTTACATTTGTTAGATCCAGAAAAAGAAGAAACAGTTCTATGTGCACACCCCACAACAGGGTCATCAAATCCTGCCAGTGACAGACAGGCTCACATCCAGCTCCCAGGCTCCTACCTCCCAGGCTAGGGTAGCAGGTAGAGTGGGGGCATTAGGTGGGCACTGCCAGTGTTCTCGTAGAGTGACACACTCCTCCATGGGGTGAGAGTGGCACATGGGAGCCTTCCGCACCATGCACTGGCTCCTAGTTACATTGACGTTGGTGGGAAGGAGGCAAGTCAAAATCAAAATATAAAAGTGGAACCCCAGAGTGGCTTGTGTCCTGACGGGCCTACAGTGCTGCATGTGATTGGGGTGACTTCCAGCAAATTTTGACTCTGGAATCAAGAACTTCTAGATTTGCTGATCATCCCCTCCATAATGTAACTCTGGGTAAGTATATAGTTTGCACTCATTTTAGCCAGCAGCAAAAGGCTTTGTCAAAACAAAGAAACTTTTCAAACCTTAAAAAGTGAAAAGTTTATGTTGATAGTGTAATCAGTAGCTCTGTCAGGTGCACTGACTTAGCACCTCCAGAAAGAGCACACAAACAAAACTCTGAATTAACCTTTTGCTACTTTATAAATCACACATGCTGCTCTGGCATTAGAAAGAAAATCGTCTTGACAGAATTACCAGAAAACCGCTCAGATGTTCAAGTACAGTGAGAGCAATTCTGTATCTGATAAATACGTGCTTAGACATCCGACTATTCTTTTCTGTTACCAAATGATATTGCACAAATAACCTCTAGTTAGGCATTCGCTGAAAATGTTAAAGTAACTATTTAATTAAAGTACATTAAATTCTATTTGCCTGTCAAATATCTAACAATATTCAGGAAGTGGTCCATTGCATAAAAAGTGAAAGAAAAATTGGTGGGGCGTAAAAGTGGAGCTGGTATCAAACACTGTTGTGATGAGATGGATGGTTACATCTGTGAACTTGATTTGCTCATTTCTTTTACTTACATCCCAGGGTCCAGATCATCTGCACAACACTATCACAATCACCACAGAACTCACAGGTTTCTTAACACTTCACCAATAAAACAAATGAACAAAAACAACCAGAGATAAACAAACAAAAAAATACCTGGTTTTCTTTGTTTCCAGGCTTGCTCTTTGAGGTATTTGACACTTCAGCAAATAATCAGTAGTTATTAGTGAAAGCAGGGTTAGAGAGATCAACAGATAATTCTTATGGAAATATATTTTAAGACTACTACACACTCAGAACCCAATAATGTACTGTGTTTTGGAAGAAATCTAATCGTCTTAAGCAGATATAACTACAGTTTTTGAGTTTCTTATTTGTTTCTTTGTTTTTCCATTTTTGTTTTTTAAACTTTTATTATAGATTCAGGGGTACATGTGCAGGTTCGTTACATAGGTAAACTCGTGTCATATGGGGTTGTACATATTATTTTATCACCCAGGTACTAGTTCTAGTATCCCATGTTCTTTTCTCGGCTCCTCTCCCTCCCATGCTTCACCCTCATGTAAGCCCCAGTGTCTGTTGTTCCCCTCTTTGTGACTATATGTTCTCATCATTTAACTCCCATATTATACCAGTCAGAATGGCAATTATTTATTAAAAAGGCAAAAAATAGCAGATGCTGACAAGGTTGCAGAGAAAAGGATACACTTATACACTGTTGGTGGGAGTTTAAATTAGTTTAACCATTGTGGAAAGCAATACAGCAATTCCTCAAAGAGCTAAAAACAGAACTACCATTTGACCCAGCAAGTTCATTACTGGGTATATACCCAGAGAAATAAAAATTTTTCTACCATAAAGACACATGCATGCATATGTTTATTGCAGCAGGATTCACAATAGCAAAGATATGAAATCAACCTAAATGCCCATCAATGGCCAATTGGATAAATAAAATGTGGCACACAGACCCCATGGAATACTATGCAGCCATAAAAAAGAAAGAGATCATGTCCTTTGCAAGAACATGGATGGAGTTGGAGGCCACTATCCCTAGCAAACTAACAGGAACAGAAAATCAAATACCACATGTATTTATTTGTAAACGAAAGCTAAATTATAGCTACAATATAGAAACATTTTTAGATTATTGTAAACCTAAATAATAATCATCACTTATATGATACCATGTTGCAGGGTAGATGGGAGAAAAGAGTTAAGAAATAACTTCAAGACTAAATATTTATTTTAAACCTTAGTTAAAGCCTCAGGAAATTGGAAGTAAAACAAAAGCTGAAATAGATTATTTCATTAATGGAAGGAAATTCTAAGGCTTTTGATTTAATCTTTCCAAAACTTTCAAACTGTAATGAATAGCAGAAAGAATTTGGAGCAGTTAAATACCATTTATTTTACATTTGTTATCTTCTCATCCTTCAGGGACATTTAAAGACAGAGGACATTCAAGAATGTGCTGGTTAACTTCTGAGATTAAAATAGGTTTGAGGCTCTCTGAGCTTTCTGCTCTCCATCTCACCAATAGTTCTGAGCAAAAAGAAGAGTGTAGGGGAGCAGGGATAACCATTACATCCAAAATGAATATCTCAAGGTGAAAATGGCAATGTTTAACCTGAAAGTTACATTCTTTTGATCGTTACCTAATACAAATATTTATGCCTAAATTTAAAGAATGAAGAAGAGTTTGATGGAAGCAAAACTAGAGGAAGGCATCCAAGTCCAAGGGTTCAGCAGGAAACAGCAGAACATGTT